CAAAAGTGATTTTATATAGTAAACGTACAAACGTTAAAATTTGCGATGGTGCTTGTAAATTCTCTATTTGCGGATGAAGTCAAGGGCCAAGGAACTGAAATTCTCTGATCTCGTCTGATAACATCAATGACAAAAGAAAGATAGATAAATCTGGTAATTACACAAAGGAAAACTGATAGTGCACAAACCTGAGACTCAAAAGGCACACGCATAACCTATGGCAGTTTCCTTTCGCATGGCTAAAAAAATAAACGCCGCGACCCAGCGCAAAATGTTGATGTTGGAGAAGTCAGTCGAAAAATCGATTAAAATAATTATTACGATCGAGTAAAAGCTCTATTAACCAGTAGTGTTTACAATTACAACCACCTACCACCCCTCCCTGAGTACTAAAGGTGTGCCTCCCCCCTTATAAAATGGTCCAAAAAATCGTCCAAAAAATAGTCCAGTCCAATCCTTATTTTACCCTATGCCCTTTACAACATTGTGTGGGGGACTTTACCAGACTACTAAGCAGTTTACAATCAAATAAAGGCGAATCAAACAGATGCCCCCTCCCCCCAGTTCCCAGTAAACAGGCCAGACCACATCACAGTAATCTCGTGAGTGGGTTCTTTAACGTCCCCTGCCTAACCAAATTAACTAATTATAGATGCAGGAGACGGATATAGTTCTATAATTTACAAAAAGACTCGGATCCTCTGTTTTGTAGATTGGAGTTACATTACCAATGTTAAGTTTATGCCTTTTAATAGAGAAATATTTCTAATGTTTGCCAGCAGAGGTGTGGAAATGAATGCTTTGTCACACGCATAGTTTTATCATTGTCACAACGAGGGGCCTTTCTAGATGTTAGCGAAAACAAGCTACAAATGTTCTCCAATTCACGAGTATCGGTGCGTTTTTAGAATAATAGGAGCATAATCTTTGCTACCAAGAAATGAGCGAAAAGTGGCCGAATTCACGGGTGGGTGTAGCACTCGCTAGGTTAGGGTCAATGTTGGCAAAGTATTTACCGTGTCTGTTAACGATGTCCGTGGGATCCGTGATTGTTTTGCCATCTGATTTACATGACGAGTGTGAAGATGGATTGTTCTTACGTTTGCTTATAACTTCGTTTAGTAGTTTCCATGTTATTGTAAGGTCAATTTTGGCACCTTCCAGTTTGGAGTCGTAATATGTACGCTCAGCATTACGTATTGGGTGGTTCAGTTTGTTCTTGTAGGCTTTATACTTTAGCTCTCAAGAAGTAATGGGTGATTGAAGGAGTTATTTTGTATATTCTGTACTTCCACTTGTTAATGGACTTTCAAAGACCATGGCTGAACCATGGAGAGTAGAACTCTTCCATTTGCTTGCCTTTGATTACTTTCAAACGAAAACGGACATTATAAATTCTGAAGAGTTCGCTTATAAAATCATTGTAAGTTTCAATGGTGTCGCACTCTGTGATATATAAAGTGTTTGAGGTTGAATTTTTCCAAATAAGTAGTATTGATTGTGCGAGAAAGAATTTTCTTTTCTCTTCTATATGTCAGAGTTTCTTTACCAAAATAGGTTAAAACCGGTAAGTGATCTGATAAATCATTTAGGACGCTGCTATTGAAAACATTTTGCGAGAGATTGTTAGTGAATATATAACAATTATTCCACGAGTGCGCGTTGGATATGAGATGATAGATAGCCAACGAGGCGCGTAGCGCCAAGTTGGCTATAATCATCTCATATCCAACAAGCACGAGTGAAATAATTGTTTTATCAAAAAAAAAAAAACGCCCCCAAGATATTAGACAAATCTTCTTGACTTTATTTTGTAAGAAGAAACTGGATGTTACAATGTACAGATATTAGATTATGGTATATGGCTTATATACCATAATGGCTAAGGCAATGAAAAGTCTTAAATTGCATTATCCAATGATCCAGTTTTTAATAATATCAATTAGTGTAGGAGAGTAATAGGTGAGCGAGTTGGATTTGAAATAAGAGGGAAAAATGGGTGCGAAAGTGAACTGTCAATAAATTTCTGTAATGGTACGTGATGGTTGTACTGAAGAAGGTCTAAATCAAAATCTCCCGTCACACCAGTTGTCTTCAATGATATAAGTGAAAATGTTATTAAATTTTTCTAGCAACAGTGCAGTGTTTTGATTTGGCAGTCTGTAAACACAACCGACGATAATGTTTTTCCTTGGGGAATAAAGATTTCGACAAAGATTGACTCAATTACTTCTAAGTCGGAAAATTTGCATTTTTTAAGAATTTAGTATTCAATATCGTTTTGCAAAGAAATGCCAACTCCGCCGCCTATTTTTGATTTACGATGATTGGAGACAAAATTTTGTCCTTTGATAATTACAAGATCTGATCTTTAACCTCTTTTCTGACACGCCAAGAACAGAGAATGCCCTTTTGAGATTTTTGAGTACAAAATTTAGTTGATGACGATTTTTCAACAGGCTGCGAGCATTTAAATGCAAAATAGAAAACATTGATTTCTTATTAGAGGAACTAACCTTATCACTAATATCTTTCTCGACCATATATCGTCTGGTCGGTAGGCGAAGAAAAAAGTTTGAGTCAGGGAAAAATAATAAGAGGAGAAAAGGAAAAAAGAGGAAAGGAGTTTGAGAGGGGATCAAATAATCTGGGCTATTCTATTTAAACAATAGAGTGTTTCTGTCGAGGAACTATCGGATGATAGTTGCCCCGCGGAAATTTGATGCCCTTAAAACAAATATGCTAGTTTTAAGAACATCAAATTTCCAGGGGGCAACTATCAGACCGATAGTTCCGAGACATAAACACTCTATTGTCTTTATTGTTCACTACTTAACAAATGGTAAACACCACAGCGTACACTATTGAGTTATGGATGCACGCGGGAGGTTGCTAAGCACGAAAGAAGCGTAAGAGTCGCTCGAGGCGATAGCCGAGAGCGACTCTAGCTTCTTGAGTGCTTAGCAAACCTCCCAAGTGCATCCATAACTCAATAGTGTACGCTGTGGTGTTTACCATTTGTTTTATAACATAACATTGATACATTGTAGCTAAAGAGTTCCCTTTTATTTAACAAATCTTACG